GAAAGCAGTGTGAGCTTTGACAGCTCTAATCACTTCCCCTCTACCTTTTGATCGAATGGGGTGCAAACAATTGTTGTGTAATTAATGTGGATGTTATCGTGTATCGTGTATGTCAAGGTTGGAATATCGCATGCTGCAATTGAATTTGTATATAAATCCATATATGTCTATTTAGGCCAATCTTTGATTTGAGATTCACATATTTTGTAAAATCTAATAAATGGGTCGTATATGTGTCGCATATGTGTGGGAAAGTGGTGAATGAAAGTTCTTTGTTTAAGATCTGATCGTCTACAAAGTAAATCTCAAATTTGTAGGTAAGCATTGCCTATCCACCCTTTAGCGTTAAGGGTTATTATAGCATTTAGCATTAATACTTGTACTCATATCCCAGAGCAGAGATCGACATAATCTTGTACATATTTATCTGCACAAAAACTTTTTTGTGGTTTTTTGACCGGAGCGAGTTGTTAATCTCTGTAAAGCAAGATAATGCCTATATATAAAATGTTTTTCTAATTTGTATATCACATTTCTTACGCAAATGCTTGGTAATACCTTGAAACCGGCTGGTCGATAGATCGTATCATGATTTTATTATACCCATTCTTTGCAATAGATCTGAGTTATTTGGGTCTAAGCTGTCTTGTGCTTTTGCTTCAGTGCTGCAAAGCGCATTGTGTCCGGCATGCAATCATCTCGTTTGGCATTGCAATTGCGCTTGGCTGGCGGATGGGTCTTTTAGGAGGAGTGGTGGAGTCTGGTTGTCTCTTATCTGTGCATGGCCTGTGGCGCAAATCTCTCTACACGCAGCGGTGCCCCCAAGTGGCGACCTCTTGCGACTGCATAAGTTTTTCGCTCATTACTGCGGAAAAACTCGATCCAAAAGATTATAATTGATTAAGATGAATCAGCGTTGCGGTCAAATGTTTGATGGGAATATAAATTGTTTGTGGTTTTGTGTAACGATGCACTTGGACAGCAGGCAGAAATTCCAAAAACAACTGAAGATGAAAAAAAAAACAGTTGGCCCAACGAAATCAAACGCAACATTTAAAGCTGACTGCGCCGCTGGTGCCGCCTGTTGATGATGCGACTGATGCTTAGGGATTGGAGCTGGCTACGCCGGAGCAGTAGGGAGTGGGGGCATCGTTTGGCTTCAAAAGTGGGAAAGCATCATCAGCACAATGCCAAAATGCCACTCGGCTGCAAGGCGGTAAATCTAAGCCGTGGTAAATAAATCAATCGCACTGCAAATTTTCTTTCTGCTGCGTTTGATTTTTCGCTGCAGTTGTTGTTGTTGTTGTTTCTGCTGCTGCTTGTGGTGTTGCAGCAGCGGCGGCGGCGGCGGCTGCTGCTGTGGCTATTGATGAGCGGCCATCAATATTTGTCTAGTTCGAGCTGGAATGTGGCCCGGGCATACGGAGAGAGAGAGACTTGAGACCAGGAGATCCGCGACCTGGGACCCGGCCTAGTGTGAAGTCTTCGTCTTTTAACTTGACTCCATTGCTGATTGCGTGTGGCAAACTTCCTGTTAGACTTTGCAATTCTTCTCGTTTGGTTTGTGTGTGTGTGCCTTGTTGGCCACCCAGCCATAGACAAAATGTTGCACTTTTTTATTGCATACAGAGATTGAGCTCAAGGTTTGGCCAGCTAATTAAAGCCTAGCTGGCACACACAAACTAACACACACACACACACACACACACATATCTCATCAGCAACAGTAGCTCCATTTCAGATTGAATGAACTGCCCACGATTCGCCCACAGACTCGAAAACTGAAAAGTTGAGACATAATCATCATCAAAAATTGCACTCTGATTTGCTGGCAAAAAAAAAACTTTAAATGCGATAAATTTTCAAATTATATAATACTTTATTTATATAACATTTGCATTGACTTAATTGACAATTGGACTAACTGACTTGCCCATGGCGACTACTGCATCAACGATGACGTGTTGCGCATTGCCCGTTGCTCTCTCACAAAAAAAGCCATGAGAACTGTTTTATAAGGAAGCAGCAATAGGTGCAGGCAATATGCAAATTTCAAGCAGACTAGCAAATGCACTGCCAAAAAAAGAATGTGGACTTTGATATACTTATCTATCTATCTTCGCTATCTTCGTTGTAAGCTAAACAGATTAGTTAAAAATATAATTAAAAAGAAAATAAATAAATATACATTACCTACGTAGCGTCGTAGGCTAAGAGATGTCAGAGGTTCAAGTCCTTGTGAGGTTAGAAGACAAAAAATGTATAATACCAATGTTTTTTTTTATTTTTATTTAAAGAATACGTGTGACGCGCAGAGACAAATTGAATATATACATAATATTAAAGACTTGAAGAGTCCTTTATTTATATTTAAGTGGTTAATTTTTTTAAATTTGGTAGCTTTTATACTCTGGTATAAAACAAATGTGCTCCATTATTCTCATTAAATAAATTGTGTTGAGTATTATAAAGAGCTTGAATAAAAAAAAAATAGAATAAGTAACAAGTCTGGCAAACTGGCGACGCATGTGGGATGTTAAAGGTGAGGTTACAAGCAGCCAAAACCGACAACAAAAGCAACATATACTGAGACTGAGACCAATTCATAGCCCAAGCCCAGAGTCAACAACAGCAACAACAACAACTAGAGTTGAAGGCAGCTTGGTTGCTCGCGTTGTTCCCATTCCCATTCCCGTTGCCCCGTTTCCATTTGATTTGTTTTGGTTTGTGGCAAGCGTCGTGTGCCTTGCCACACATATGGGCACGGCGATGACAAACGGAGCGACTGAGCCCAGACAGACAGATGGATAGACGGACAGTTGGACAGACATTTAATTGAAATAAAGAAGTTTAATTTAGCTAAAAGTTGAGGTGTTGCAGTCTGTAACTGAAACCGAGAGCTAAAACTGCTGATGCTGCTTCTGCTGGTGGGCTGCGTGGGAACATCACCAATTGAGATTAGCTTAAGAGAAATAAAAACAAATGCGGCTCATAGGTGGCGCCAGCATGTGGGCTAAATGTGTCGCCAACATGCAACGCACTCAACTGCCGCCTGAAGATCGCATTATTACGACACAATTACAAGCTCTGAGGCGCCCCAATCGGCCTGGTGGTGTGCCTGGTTCGCCATGGTCCACCTTGGTCCGGTAATTGCAATTGAAGCGCAATCAATTACCTACCGGCTGGTGGTGGCTGTTAGGTAGTCCGTCTTCAGTCCGCGATGCTGTAAGTAAAAGTCGTCTTCGCTGGCCAACACCACCACATGCTGTGATCCGCTCGCTGTGGCTCTCGCCAAGATTTACTCGCTCGGCCTCACTTAAATGGAGCTCAGCTCGCCAGTTGATTGCGTGCAATTTATTAAGACGCGCTAACAAGACGTGTGAATGACCAAACCGGAGCAGGTCCCAGAAGCTGTACAGCTGCCACATCGTTGGTTAACTCCTGCCTGCTGTCTGTCCCCCTGGCATATAATTACACTTGGCTTTCCCGGTGGTGCTTTTATCTATTTGATTTGATTTTTATCTAGTCAAACGGTTCTTGTTGCAACAATAAAACACCTTTACAGCTTAAGAATTGATTGGCTAAAGGGAATATATGCTTAGCTAGTATAGAAAAGTTTCATTACCAAAAGAAAGGAACCAGAGTTTTAGTCATAACTGCATTTTACCTTCACTTAGCTGAATGGAAACATGTGCACCAGGTTAAGTAGAACCAGAAACTAACATTCCTTTCGGTGTTTAAGATTGCAACTGGTGGAAACATGTCCAAGAGTTTATGTAAATAGATGAATTTTATCTCATCGATCTAAAGTGTTTGATTCAAATTTAAAAGGAAAACAAAGCTCATATAACTTTCTGTTAATTCCAAGCCTGACGTTTCACTCTAAATCTCTTTAGGGTTAATTATAAATGGATACATCCGTCAGAAAGTCTAGGTGGGTTCATTGTGGTTGTTCTCTCACTTTCTAACACACCTCTTCTATAAGAATCGCATATCTATCTTTAAGCATCTTTGTAACTCTTCTGGTTCACAATCAGTGTCGTCTCCTGTTACCACGATTCACCCACGCAGCCCACAGCTTGTGTCAGTATCTCAACTGAGAAGCCTATTACTGTCTCATTCCCGACTCATTCAACTCGTTTAGCATGCTCACCAAAGGCTAATCTTCAAGCTGAGTGACTACCACGCTGGCTACTCGAGGGGCCATGGACTGCAGCTCCATCTCCAGCCCCGGAGACGACAACGACGACGACCGCGACCGCGACGACGATGACGACGACGACGGCGACGGCGACATTGGCGACAGGCCATTGTTTTGACTTATTGCTTGGGGTTTCTTACTGCTCTAGCGAAACAACAAGATTGATCTGTGTGCAAATACTTTTTTTTGTTTTTCATTCGATTTCTGCAGCGACTCGTTTGACTGCACTTGTTCGCCTCCGGTTATGCTGCCTGTGCCTAGCCCATGAGTTGTTAAATGTTTAACACGTGATATGACAAATAAATTACATATGATCAACAGATGCAGCTAAAAAGGAAACAAACGATCCAACGAACCAGCCAGCGAACGTCTATGACTTAATAAAAGCTTGTAACGATCAATCAGTTTTATGTTGTTGACGTTGTTCTACATTCATCATCATCGTCGTCATCGTCATCTGAAAGGCAGCCAACAACAACTTACAGTCCTATACAATATTTTGCGTCTCCAGGATCGATGTGTTTGCTGGTGGAGATTGATCTGATTGTAAATGTTGACTGTTCGTTAAGTTTGTATTTCCCATGAGTACAAATGAATGCATATAAATGTATGTTAAAAAAACAACGCTTTTTTGATATCGCCCTACTATGCGATTCTCAAGAAATTTAAGTAAGACTTTCTAGACCTGTACTTCGATTTTGAGTAGTATTTAATCAAATCTTAGACGTGCTTCTTCATGCTTTTTTCTTCTTCTTCACTTACTCTAACCCGCTATCTACTATTTTTTTTTATCTTTCAGAGATGTGTATATATACAACTTTGTGTGGCTGCTCATTTGTGGACATAAAATAGTCGTCCGTGTGTTTTAAAATTGTTGGGTAAGTACGTATTTAAATTTACTTAAATTTTTATATAAGTTATAATATATTTCAAGGGTATTTAGGTCTGGGTCAGGTGTATCTTCTAGTTTCTTACTTTTGACGTAAGCCAACTCTTTTTCCAACTCAGTTTTCATCTCGACCATCAGTTTTATTTATATAGCTGTTCACATTTATATACACCATAAAATCTTATATGATTTTTACCCAAAGCCCAATTTAATGATGTATTTGCTGTTCTCGTGTTTACTTTTCCTCGTCGGCGATTCTTGTGCCAGTTCCCATCTCCTGCCGAATATCGAGCAACAAAATTATAGAGCTCTCAGTCTGGATGTAAATTGGGTTTCGGGATGTTGTAGTTTATAGTTTATAGAAGATCACTTGCTGCAATAAGACACTTAAGACTGACGACGCCATTTGGCCTCGGGAGAGAAGTTGCAAATGCCGCCAATAAGCGATGCTTTGCATGACGAATAGAAAAACTAACCCAAAAGTCACGCTAATAGTAAATTGAGCTCAGTACCCAACACTCATAGCTCGAATGCACTATGCCAACACATGCCAGCTGAAAAGCAACACAAGAAAAAGAAGTTACCTTCGCAACGACGAGCTCTGTATGCCCTCACAAATTTCAGTAATACGATAAAGGAAAACCTGACCAGAGTAACTAAATCAAGAGAAGTTATCCTTACGTAAGATATAAATATAAGAACTCCGCTCTTGATCCATTTCGTTTTTGATCGCTATATACTCTACTTAAATTTGATCACATTTTATACAAATTGAATTAATATTTTAAAGCAAATCAACTTTTGATAAAATTGAGCTTGTTTCAGACTTAGCTTCGGCTGTTCTTCAGTCATATTTTGAGGTTTGAATATCGAAAATTGGGATTCCGGATTCAAAACGTTTCAGCTCAGTACGTTACATATTTTGTATCAAAACTGTAACACCCTGTTTGAGGGCATAAAAACAGACAAGCTGATACACAGCCCCCCAAAAACGGCGCATAGAAATTGCAATTTTTCATATGCATCAATTGACACCCTCTAGGCACACGTCGTCGTCGTCATCGTCATCGGCGTCAGAAATTTCCCAGACATTGCAGTTTTCGGAGTTTCGGATCGTGTGCTTGCTGCTTGCTGATGTCCAAGCGGAGACGACAACAACGACGACGGAGATGATGATGATGGTAAAGTGGATTAATGTGGCATGAAATGATTTGGTGAAATAATGCAGCAAGTTGAGTGTTGCACACTGGACACACGGCGTCTTGGATCACAGTTGGGACTTCAAGTTTTTTATTTTTTCGGCTCCTCACTCACACGCAATGGCCCACTCTAACGAGTTTTTCATTGGGTCTCTCACATAGCGGCTACCTGTACATATTTGTTGTTGTTTTTTTTTTTTTGCACAATTTCCATGGCCCGTATGGTTCTCTAGGCATACAGGGCAATTCCCATGACTTGATAACACAATTTGGTGCCAGTGATGCGGCAGAGACTTCATTTACCGCAAAGTGCATGTGGGTTCAGCGTGGCATCTTGGCCCAAACTCTTTGGCCAACTGGCTGCTGGTAGTGCGTGGTGACGCCGTTGCCTGTGACTATGTCCCGCGGTTATTACCACTAATAACAAAGCCACACAGCACAAGAACAGGTAACGGGTCCGTCTTTGGCATAGTTCCATACTCTGCACCACTGCATTTCTTGTTTCTTGGCCACAAATGATCACAGATTTGTCTACGCATCTTGAACAACGCCTCCCGATCGCCAGCTTCTCTTGTTCGCTTCTTGAGAATATGTAAATAGATTTCTGCACAGCATTTAGCAGCATTTTTTTTAAAAGTATTGTTATGGATATTGCTGCGACAATTATCGAGTAATTATCACAGATCTTATAAAATATGCAGCTATGGCGAAAATAACTCAATATCTAATTAATACGAAAAGCTTGTTGCGATTTGCATTTTTCCAAAGAAGGAGTTGATGGCAGCTAACATGAGAATATATAGTTGAAGCCTAATGGCAACTATTTTGTACATACTGTGGCAACGCTACGTGGATTAGCAGTACAGTTCGTAAAGGTTGCCAGACTGTTCAATTGTGTGAGAAAATAAGTGCTAATATTGCGAGTAGTCAAAAGACGACTAAATAGAAAAGAGAGGGACTAAATACATTATATTTTAATAAGACCTAGTTTTCGTGGGGCTAAAGGGAAAACCTACTTTTTATGGAACCCTGTGGCTGAATAAAATTTTCTTTTGAACTTTTTAAAAATGTATTAGAATTTTTGACACAAATTCGATTTAAGCATAATTACCAGATATACAAAATATGATTCGAGAGGCGTATCATTTTAGATTTTATTAAACTAGTATCTCCTTTTATTTATAGCTTTAATATTTAATAATGTTGTTTTGTACAGTTTATTTTTGAGCATTTTTCATGTAGTACAACATTTCCTTTATACATTTTTCACAATTGTTTTAATTTTTTTGTTTGTTGTTTTTTCATTAAAATTCCTCAACGACTTCGTGAGCTGTGCTGCCAAATCAGCACAACTCCCACACCATTTTGATGCCATTCAGCACCACGCGGCTCCACCACCACCACCAGCACCAGCAACGGCACCACCACAATGCACTTCGTATTTCGTGCTCTACATAATTCATCATCAATCCACACTGTGGCCAACTGCCACACTGTTGGCGTAGATGGTTGGCGATTTGAACAGGCAGCGTTTCCTGCGGGCAGCAAATAAGCAGCCAGCTTATGGGCAGCGGTGTGTGCGGGTTGTGTGGTGTTGCGGGTCTTGCGATATTTCCAATCAGGCAGCGTCGACAAAAATATTGGAGCAATTTCCTATGCAGTCAACGGACCAAAATGCTTTTGTATGACTTATTTGCCTTTAAGACTGCCGAGAGGGCTGGGACAATGTCCAGTTGGCGGCGGTTCTCGTTTTAGCCTTTTGCACCTACAACTTAACGCCGCCAACTATCGGATTGGAGCGGGCGATGGGTATCGATGCCGATGCCGTCGCACCTTTTGCCATTGCCAATTTAGCTATGCGCCGTGTTTCGTTTTCGTTTCTTCGTATGTTTCGCCGGTTTCTACCGATCCAGAGTCAACTTTGGCATGACTTTTCATCGCTGTCGATTGTCGTGATCAATTGAGAGCAATTTATTATGAAATGAGGGTGAATTATATGAATGAGCGGCATCTAGGCAACCCTCTCTCTCTCTCGCTCTCACTCTCGCTCTGTTGCACTGTTCGGCGCGTTAAGCGCCGCACAATTCTTTTGATCTTCAACCGGACTGCAGTCCAGAGAGATATCTAGTCAAAGACCTCATGAAAGATCTGTACATTTTCCAACTGAGAGTCCTGATGACTTGTTGCACTTTGCATTCAGTTTGAGTTGTGAGTGTGATTTTTAAAAGTGTTTTACATGGGAAACGACAACGATATCTACCGTGAACCCCCCACCTACCCGTAACCCAACGAAATGCAGAACGATGCCAAAGACGATCGAGACTTGAGTTTCACCAGTTGTTTTTGTTGTTGTTGTTGTAAATTGTCTGTCGACAATTATTTTATTATGCTGTCAACACTTAAATGTAATAATGCCAATAATATTGTTTTATGACAGTCGCAATATCTTTGTGGAGGCGCACATTTTTCGTGCTTCGGATCTATCTTGCAGTGGTTGCGGTTGCCTTGAGGCCTTCTACCTCATCTTCGGTTTCAGCACCTCCTGCGCCCAGCGCCTTTGCCTTGTCCTCGGCTCTTTAATGTCGGTCTAGTTGAGCCTCTTAGCTGCATTTCGGTTTCGTTTTAGTTGGCTCTTGTCCAAAGATAGAGGTCAGCCATGATTCGTTTGTCTGTGCTTCTCAGTCTCAGTCCCAGTCACAGTTCGCTTCATGCATATAGTTTGTTACCTCTTGGGTGATTTGGTGGGAATTCTAGTGCGCTGGGCCCCAAAAAGCTTACCATCGCCAACGTAGCAGAGCACTTAGAATGCTCGCATTGCTGTCTGTTTTATGGCCTCAACAAGTAATTGGTTCATTAGCCCTGCAGTTGGAACCGTCGTCCGAACAGGCAACTGAGGTAGTGGCTAACCAATTTGATTCTTTGGCTTTAGTTGGTTTAGTGTCTGATTTTAAGTAGTTCACAGTTGATTTGATTGCTTGCGCTCACCGTTGGCAAAAGTTCAAGTGGTTAAGGCCATGTTAACCCATTGGCTGTCTAAGAGCTGCGCCAATTTAATTTATACTACTGTTTTTCGAATTTTCACAACATTTATATGGCACTTACATTTTTAATGATTCCCAGGTAACTACACAAAAATATACCTTCGTGTGCCAGGTAAAAAGAATTGCAATTAATCAGGTAACACCTGAGCTTTTTAAAATCACATTAAAGCTTTTTTAACAATTGATTTAATATCAAAAATTGTTCTTTGAGTCAATAACCCAACAGACAAGAAATTTATTAACGCATTTGCAAGGGTATTTAATATTCGGCTTAACGACTAATTCATCATACGACTTATGCTATAAAAAAATTATTGGTAATAATTGACATTTTAAGGAATAAATTCCGCAAAAGCAGCCCCCTTTAAATATACCGTAGCTTATGTAGAAATATGGGTATTTAATAAGAATATTGCAGAAGGACGTTTCAGACTTGGGTGCTTCTTTTACGAGGTTCACCAGTTTAGCTGTCCACTAATCTCTTAGGTGATTGAGTCTGAGGGCATCAACAGTTCGCCTGGAGTTTTTCTGCATGTGCTCGGGTTCCGTGGAGCTGCTGGCTGGGAGCCAGTTCGGGTTGGTTCAAGTTTTTAAGTAACATGCATCAGGAAGGTCTACCTTCGGCGTTGTCTGACGGCTAACGGAATTTCTAATCGAACAATTGGCGCTGGGCTGTTCATGGTGGTGCAGGTTGTAAAGTTGTAGGCGAAAGGGTCGGCGGAAGGCCTGGCGCGGTGTGTGGAGCAACA